TATTTATTTCTTATTTTTTTTTTATCTATGAAACCATTACATCACTGTTTCTGGTATAGTGTTAAATGATTCACACACGCAATGCTTCATTCAGTGTTGTAGATGTAGCAACCAGTTTACTCCAGAGATCCGGGTGAGGGTTTCTTCACGAGTCTGTGACAGTTGTCAGATAAACAATGAGCCATGGATGAGGTAAGCGTGTGGAAATGCAAAACATGTGACATTATAGGAAGATAAACGCCGCAGGACCACAGACTTGAGCGACAGATCTATAATCAGCCCAGCTCTGTTCTTGACAGTCAGGCTCACCGATGTGCAAACAGTCTCATGCCTATCAATCTCCATAATAAGAAACAAGAACCAATCACTTGTAAAACAGCAGCAAGCCTTGGTTGAACGCTGTAGCAATCAGTTTAACTATACTTCTGCTCCACCTGAGTCATATCATGGAAAAACAATAGTTTTTGTTTTGCTCTTTTGAAATAATAGTAGGGAGGGATGACAACCATATCATTTTTTTGTCAATACTGGATAGCCTATTTAAATGTGGATGATTAATTCAACCTATTTTCAGGTTTTAGACTACTTTAGCAGTCATGTAACACTAACTTCAACAAATTTCCATTATCTCTTTAACCACTTCTGGAAAAGCGGCCCCTCAATTGAGACTCATCTTATCATTTAACTTTTTTATTAACTATTCATTTCAAAATAAATAATTATTTCATACTGTGCATTATAATGCTGCAATGTCTAAATTCACTTAAGCGTCACAACATTGATATACATGGATAAAAACGATTCATTTTAGTGCTATTATTTTTAGACCAAAGATAATAGAAGTTTAATATTGGCCATAATAATTTAAATGTACATACAGAATAAATACATTTAAAATAAAATAATAATACTTAGCAACTTGTCCTGCTCTGATGAAAAACAGTAGCTATGTTTCCATTAAAGTTGCGAATTTAACTTATGCGTATATTGCATAAAATATTGCTGCAGTAGGAGAAGCCACTGTGGGTCTTTTTTTGTATGTATAAATTACTTGCGCCTTTTTATAAATTACTTGGCATTTCCAAACAGTGTTTTTGTCTATGTGATATCCCAAAATGCACATAAAAATAGGTGGATGGAAACATAACTAGTGGTCACTTACATAAATTATTACAGGCACAGTAGCAAAAACTGTTCAATTCTAAGAGTCAGAGTGAGGGTCAAAATAGTCAATATATGTATTCATGTATGTGTTTGTTTGTTTGTGTGTGTGTGTGTGTGTGTGTGTGTGTGAATATGTATATATGTATATATATATATATATATATATGTGTTAAGAGTCAGCTAGTAAAAATGTCTAAACTAATAATCGAGCATGAAACAAAGTTCATAAAAGGCAAATACAAAGTCTAAAAACAAAAGATGCAGAGGTTGAGGTGAACGCATCTGCCAGCGAGGCGATGAAAGCATCTGTTGACCAAACCAGCACAGCTTGGTTCTCTGAGGAGCCGTAAATGAATGTGACAGAGAGCTGAGGAAACAGAAAGATGCTGCTTTTAGAACAACCATGTATTAAAAATGAACAGAGAAAGTGTGAGTGGGAACAGAGGGGAGAAACGAGAGGTTGGGGCAGTTGGTATGTGAAGTCGGGTCACGGCGAGTGGAAAGACTTCTGTGACTTTCATGTTATAACTAACACTGCTTATCATTCTCCAAAGCCCTGAGCTGTGGGACTGTCCTGATTACCACTAAACTCTGAGTGAACTTCCCTCTTAACACACAGCTCTAACTAAAACCCCATATTCTAGAGACTCAAAGACAATGATTGACTAGTAATTAAAATTGTTGATGAAAAAAATATGATGATGATGATGATGTAAAATTAGGCATAAAGTGAAAAATGAACTCTAGAGAGGAGAATTTGCTAAATATATGCAGCCATATATCATTCATTACAATTT